GGTGTTCTGCTGTTACCGCACCGTTTTGAAAATCTCGAAATATTCGAGTGAATGGCGTGTCGCACACACCATCCCTCACCAAGAGAAAACATACATGTCGTGTTCAACGATATTCGGTACGGCCCTCGTCCTTCGCTCACACCCCCGACGAAATACGTCGCAGAGTGCGTTCTATTGATCGATACGGTACCTCCTGTATTCCATACGTGCTGCCTCGCGTACCAGAGGCATGGTGCGTGGAAAGGTCCTGAGATGGGATTGCCCCGTGTTCGTAATACTTGCAACGAAGCCGCGGTCGTGCAAAGTGCATTTCACCATCGTAGTTCGAAACCACCCGACCGTCATCCATGGCCCACCCATTGGTTCTTGGAAACCACGTTGAAAGTGTGGCCAATCAGGTCATTCCATGGATGTATACATCAGAAAATGTCGAAAAATGGCCAGAATTCGTGCAAAATTTGGTGTTGAACCGCCACCACTAGGCACCGTGGCTGGACCCAGTCGCGGAGGTCGTGGCCTGGCGATTGTTGCTTGGAGTGACGAAGCAACGGTGGCTGGAAGGAACGTGGAATCCACACGTGCAGCACGTTCGACGGATCAGCTTGTTTCGATGTGCTTCGATGTATTCCACAACACGATTGTGGCCGTTCCTTCGCGCTCGATCAAGCGCGTTGGCCGAGCAGCCTCCATCGCGATGCTCGTGCAGAAACTTTAAAGCATCCAGTTGTCCATTCGTCGTCGCAGCGTCCATCGCCGCGCCAGTGGAGCCGCATCGTGGCCTAGTGTGATGCATGTACGACAACACTCTCACGTGACCATGGGCCGCGGCGACGGTGAAGGCTTCGGAGCCCCAGGTTTGGTGCTTCTGCTCGTGGCACCACTGCACGATGTGGACGTGACCAGCTGCAGCAGCAGCGTTGACCACAGCCATGGAGCACGACGTCCGGCGACCATGCATCATCTCCACGAGGTACTCTAAAACATGTAGGTGGCCGTGAGAGGCCGCGGCCACCATGGCTGGCATCCACCCGAAGACGTCAGAGTACTTGGCATGGAGCAAATGGACCACTGCAGGAAGGTTTCCGTGTGCTGCTGCCACTTGATGAAGACCGTCGAAGTCGTGCACGTCCAAGTCGAATGCGGAAAAGAGATCGAATGCGTTGTCGGCAACGGCAAGGCGTGCGATGACGCGATCGATATTGGGCAAGTAGACTTGTAAGCGCGATGCGCGATCCATGCCGTGCTCTTGCAGCCATCGGCGTAGAGTGTCCATGGCGTGGGGGGTGGAGATGGCGTGGGGGGGGTGGATGGAACGGGCAAGTTGGACCATGTTGTGTGGGATGCCACGTTGGTACGAGGTAACGAGAGCCACGAGCTCAAGGGGCAGGAACACAGGGTGCATGTCGAGTGTAGAGGCACGAGCCAATTCGAAAATGATGCTTTCGACAACCAACGCGGGCAGCGGAGGACGGGTTGCCGAGATGGCAAGCCCTGTCGCTTGTGTCGATCTGCTGCAGCTTGGACCGATGACACTGGTTACCTCTGCGCTTCTGCTGACCACCGCCACAAAGTGCATCTGCTCCTGCAGGACTGAGAAGAAGCTGAAAGGTCGGCATACCGTCCAGCATACGACGCCCACAGAGAACGGCGTGGTCTTTGAAACGAACGACAGCGATGCCATCCCACGTTGTGAGCCGTTCTGTTGTCGCTCGCCTCGGGCGGTAGGACGATGCCTCTGGTCAGACGTATCATACGGACAGTTTGCATTTGGCAAGCAGGATGGGCCACCTCTTGGGGCGGATTTTTCTTCTCGCAACCGTTGGTTCCGTGGGCACCGAACGAGTAGCGACGCGCGCTGGGCTGCCGCGCTCCTGGACCGACACACCAGGCAGTAACTCGTCACGGTGGGGCGACGTCATTGTTGGCGTGAGCTGACGTCTGAGAAGTATCCTGTCGCACCGATGTCCTGGCCAATTGTTCGCGTCGGCGTGGGGACCGGAGGTGAGCAACTTCCGCGCCCTTGGAGATACACGTGCAGGCAGTGGCTCGCCATGCTTCCATCACGGTGGAGCGAGGTGATCGTCGGCGCGAGTGGGTTTCTGAGAAGTATATCCGCCGGTCTGACCTCTCGGCGACCTGTTCGCGTCGGCGTTCCCTTTCGCGAACCGTGGGTACACTGCCACAGAGGCCACACACTCTGCCATTGTTCAAACTTGGGTGCCTCCGCCACCACGATCACGTCTGCGTCGTCCCAACAACACTGGAGACAACCTCCCGAAAAGGCAGCGAGACACGCATCAAAGTCGAATCGCCACGCAATACTGTCGTACGGTCGAATGAGCGCGATGTGCACGGTGAACCGTGCGGTGGGGTTCCGTTTGTTCCGGTGCGATGTCGTTGTGAAATGTGTTTTTTTTTAATCTCATCGATAGCACTTCATATCAGTATAATGGTATGCGTGAATTCTATTCTATCGTGGATGGTGTTTTATAATCGCACCATTCCGCCACAGGCCATTGCGACGGACGACGACTTGGAGAGAAGGTGAAGGTGGGCGTGGATATTTGATACCGTGGCTGCCGAGGATATGCATGAACTCTGTTACGAGGGGGCAAAGTAGGCCCAAGCACTTATGGAGTCGGAAAAGCGAGGAGTAGAGTTGTGCGAGAGCCCAACAGGACCGCAGTGCACAACAGGAAAGAACGAAGAGTAAGATTAGAGATAGGTTGTGCAGGGAGACTGTTCACACCACTCATGCACTAGCTATGCGGTCGCGACTTTTGATTGGCTGGGGCACCAAGTGAAGGCTGTTGATTGGCCACAACACCAGGTGACTTTTGATTGGCCAAATAGTTTCTCCCTCTTAACTGCGGGTGAAAGCACCTTGCAAAGAGCGTCCCCTTGACAAACTCCACTGCAGCCAACTGTGTGGACACTGCGCCGTGACTTTGTGGAGCCCGCTGTCCATAAAAATGCGAACTAAATGGTCCACGGCTCGCCACGACGGCCGAGTCATTGGCTCGACTTGCACACGCTCATCCTACAGCGACCGGCCATGTGCAATGCGCTCGACTCGAACGTCATCGGTGGCGCGGGTACCTTCTGCACTGGCGACGCACGGGATGCCCATCCACGCTGTGTTCCATCATCAGAATGAGTGTTGGGGGAGATCAAGATCTTTTTTTTAATCTCGCCGAAGTGCCTACTTTCTATATGGGGGAAAATTTTATTGTAGAATTTTGACTTCCCAAACCAGTCACGACACTCGCGTAGACAGTCCAATTGATGAAGGGCGATCCAAGGGAATGGTTGGCCCTTGTTTTTGCAATCGGGTTTTTCAGGTTTTAATATAAAACCCGATTGGCTAATTGGGTTTTATTCGGAAAAATCGGGTTTTAATTGAAAGGTGGGCATTTACTGTACAGTGTTAATTGGCTGTTTCCATTCCACTTGTGAAAGTGTCCGACATCGTTATGGAGGCGAATTCCTTCCGTTACCAGATGCTACTGTCCAAAGGGTCGAAGACCGAGTTGTACATACTGGTAGACCGATGGATGTCAGTCGGCAGATTTGCAAAGCGTCGCGATCCTTCACTATTAGTATGGCGACGTCTAGTGCAGCGTCAGAGCGAAACATCTTAACGATAGGCTTCATCCATTCCAATCTGAGGAACTCACTGAGCGACAAAGACTGTTGAGAAGCTCATGTTCATCAAGAACAACGTGGGTGCGTTCTACGGTTGTCCGACGGGCGACGACTACGCCAGCGAGAGTGATTTCGTTCACACCAACCAGTAGCCTCATTTTTCAGAGTTTGATGGGTACCTTCATCCATGAATTTTTTTCACTCTCTGACCATGGGCCAACTTGATGCCTACAAACTTCAAAATACTCGCGAGTACAACGCTTGCGAGATTTTTCCCGGTTCATTGTAGCGCTCTGACCGCCGTACAGTGAACTACATGTGAACTGGCGTACAGTGGTACCTGAAATGTTTTTTTAAATTCCAAAGCGTAAAAAAATCAAACATATTTAACCAATCAGAGCACGCCTGATCTAAGCTGTGTGATTGGCCAAATCAAATTTCAAATTCGTGAATTTGATTGGTTCATTCAAATTTCATATTGTCAACTTTGGTCCGCCTGATCAATTGACATGTTACCGCCCCGACCTGTAGCACGCCGCCATCAGCCTCGCTACACAGTGCGTCAAATCCACGTCTTACTTCAGACGCATGCCCTCCCTGTCCGTGTACCAGTGACATACATTTTGCCTGAACGTATAATATTCCGGAGGCAACATTTCGAAGATGGAAGGG